GGTTATACTGAATGTAACGATCTAGTTGGAGGGTGTTGTTCTATCGGTTCTACTTGTTGCTCTGGGGGAGGATGTTGTCCGCTTGGCACATCTTGTTCATCTAATCAAACGTGTATTTGTTTCGGTAGTTGTCCTAATAATTCTAAGCCTTCTAGCAATTCTTCTAGTAATTCTCCTAGTAATCCTGATCCTCCTAGCATTAGTACTAAACCTAATAGTGTCAGCACTAGCATTCCAAGTATTTCTAGCCCTAAGAATATTCCTAGCCCTAACCCTCCCAATAGTCCTTCCAATAGTTCTCCCAACAATTCTCCCAAAAATTCTCCCAATAGTTCTCCCACTAGTTCTCCCAATAGTCCTCCCAATAGTCCTCCTAATATTTTTCCTAATAATGTTGCTTCTAGTAGTCCTTCGAATAATTTAGATATTAATCTTTATTTATCTTGTATATTGTTTATATTTATATTATTTTATTAATATTAGAAAATTGGTATTATATTTTTGACTTATATTTATATATAAATAATAAAGATCAATAGAGTATTTAAATACTAATAATAACGATCAATAGAATATTTAAATACTAATATAACTTTGAAAATGGATTTCGAAACACTATACAGTACATAGTAGGATGGTCACAACTCAAAAATCGATTTAATTGATTCGACTTAATTAATGCTGAGTTAATGTTGACTTGAGTTAATTTAAAACAATTGCTACAGATACATACATTTACGTATTTGCACTAGTGTTAGAGGCAAAGCCGCAGTCACGAAGTCATGTGACCTCGTGAATCAAGTTCACGATTAACCCGTATAAAATATATATATATATATATATAACATAAGGTAGCAGTGCAGCATGTGGTGCCGCGCAAAACCAGTACGATCGGCATCAGTAAAGTTTTTGATATGCCTGTGAGTACTCAGGTATATACAGGATTGAGTAACGGTGATTAGAAGTAAACTGGGTTTTTTAAATACACTGCACTGTTATCTCAGACACGGAGCATGCAACCCATTTAGCGAAGGTCTACGGTAGCCATGGAGCCTAAAACAAGTTCTTTGCACTGCTACCGCAGCCGCGAAGCCTAATTGCCTAGGTTCTCGTACTGCTACTTCAGCCTAATTGCTACAGAAACCAGGTGTTACACGCAGCAGTGCGACCTAATTATTAAGGTGCTACTGCAGCCTCGGAGCCTAATTACTGCAAAAACAAAATCCTTGTACTACTGCAGCCTAGGAGCCTAATCACTACAAAAACAAAACCTTGTACTACTGCAGCAACCGCAGAGTTTCATAGTTACAAAAATAAAAAAACTAAAACAAAACCAGGACCTTACACGCTACTGCCTGACATTATACCTTGTCACACAAGTCAGCTGTCAAGTATTTAAACTTATTGTGGGTCACTGCACTGTGGGTGGGATGGGAGGGACGATAGAGTAGCCTTCCTGCAAGGCAAGCGATAGCAAAGAGTAAAATAAGCTTTTTTTTACTAAAAACATCACCCTTAAATACACTACATTACATTTTTCTCCTTCCGTCCCACTGATCGATTCACGCTTGAAGCAATATGAAAATGCTCCTTTACTTTAGCATTAATTTGTTAACATTCATATCTGTTCGCCACTTAGTGATCATAAAAACCTGATCTAGTGATCCATAAGGTCATCTGATCTCGCAATTCGTTGACAAAACTCATTATAAAAAATTAAAATTTTTTTTCAAGAACATCTCATCAACGATAATGATAGTAATTGAAAATATGTAATAATCAGTGAATAAAAATATCATATGAATGATTAAATAGGTGAATGATGATTAAATGATGAAATTTATAAATATTGATTATCCGTTTTTAATTACTAAGAAAGATTATCCTCCAGAATAAGGATGAGTTCGGTTACGATTATAACCATTTAGTCGAGGTTATTAACCGTAGCCGGTTGACTGACCGAAATAACCGATGACGCTCAGCGTTTTAAATGTAATTTTCACACGCACATATTTTTCCCACACCAGCCTGATGGCATGTGAATACTCCGTGTCAGTATTATCTTAACTACTACTAGACTTGGATAAATGAAAACCATTACTTATACTAAAAAAGGATTTTCAAAAATCAGCATACGTAGCGAACATCAAAAAAAATTGAACGGAACCATCCCTCACACATTTCATGTTGCACATTCATGTGATCGTACTGGTATAAGTAACAATTAAGGACCCGACGTGAAGTAGGTTATAAGATCCGACAATGCCAAATGCCCTAGATCCCTAAGGAATTGGGAACAAGAATCGTGAGGTTGAGCCGCCGCGATTTCGTGAAGAGATTGGGGAATAATAGTAAAAGAAGAACCCTTTGTGTGTGAAGACAGACCCCGATAGTGCTAAGTTATAAAAGGAAGGTAAACAAGAGTAAGGCCTTTAGTTTGTATTTGAAGTGCAATTAGGTGATCGACGGGTTAGGTTAATCCTGTGGCCGTGTCAGATTTCTTTTTTGCTTTCATGAGGAAATTATGGAAAAAAAAAATGTTAGAATAAGATTTAATGAACGATCGTGAACCAATAGTGGAAAGCAAATAAAGTCGCATTGAAAAGATAGATGATGGCAGTTGAATTTTCGACTTTGTTCTCTGTCCCATTTTTCTTGTCCTGTAAATTTTTGTTATAAAAAGAATAGAGTTTTTGTCTTAAATTGAGTGAATTTTTGTTTGACGTCTATATCAAATACAAATAAAAACTATACCTTTTGCTCCCTGTAAAACTCACATCTCTTCAAGCTTATATTATTTTAGTGTACCCTTAATAAACCCTTACCGTGCCAAGTCGAACCGCCTCTGCTAAATTGGGGTTTGTTGTATAATTGTAGTTGTGTTCGTAATGACACCTAAAACTGTGGTCTGCCCACGACACTAGTATTACTAAAATGTACTTATACTTAACATTAACTTTAGCTTTAATTCTGGCCAATGCTGTGTCTATAGTCATGTTAATGTTATGTCCATAGCTTCCCCTAATACACTTAAAAAGTTAAAAACAGTTGATTATGACTCAGTATATTGTAATTCGAATTGATTCAATCTAACACGTGAATTTAATTCTCGATTTATAAATTGTGGTGGTTTTCAAAAAGGCGTGAACGACTTCTATATATATGTAGGAATGAACGAATATAAACACTATATCATGGGAAATTTATAATATTTCATTGACTTTCAAAAGCTTACGGATGTTTCCATATACCATTTGGTAAAATCAAAGAATTTTGAAAATTCTAACTAGTAAAACTTATAGATGCATTTAGATCATTATTTCACAAATTTTTAAAAATTTCAAAACCTGATCTAATTGGGTCTTAAATTTTACTAATCAGAATAGGGATGCTGTTTATTCATTCGGTTCTATTCATCAATAGTGATGCAAACGGCTAGCTTCGGCTCAGCTACGGCTTGATATCATGTGAGCTGAGCTGCTTTTTAGCCGAGCTGC